CCGTCGGGGGCGGGGGGGGGCGGGCCCTCCGCTGCTCCGTCAGGGCGCAGTGCTGGGCAGGATGAGGCCACCCCAGCCCCACGCAGCGGGGAGGCAGTCGCTGTCTCTGGGTAATTTATGGAGCTCTGTAAAGAAAGCTCCATTAAGGAAATGAGCATCTAAATGATCCCCCGCTGCCGGGGTCAGGGCAGATGGCGCTTGCTGTATTTGGGGGGGCGAGCATGATGCTGGCATCCAGACCTTCCCCGTGCATCACCCCGTGCACCCTTGCCCAGCATCCCACCAGGGCTCAGCACATCCCAAGTGTCACCGATGCTGCTGCACCTCGGTTTCCCCCAGGGGCAAAGCAAGGCGGGGGGGGCTGCGTGGGGAGGGGGCGAGGGGAGAGCTGATGTGGCTGCCGGGGCCCAGGCGGGCGGGGGCGGGGGTGCTGGGGGCCGGGGGGCACCCGGCACCTGGAGCTGGAGGGCTGCCGGCGCAGCCTGGGTACCGACCAGGTCCTCGACGCCACGGTGCTGGCCCGGCGCTTCCCTGGCCTTCGGCTCCATGCCGGCGAGGGGGCCGTGTGGGACGGCACCGGTGGGGTGCTCTTCGCCGACCGGGCGCTGCGAGCGGTGCAGGTGGGTGCTACCAAGGGTACGGAATGGGGGTCCCCCAGCTCCATCCCCGCAGCCACCTCCCATCACCATCCCCACCCAGGACGTCTTTCGCCGGCACGGGGGCACCCTGCGGGACGGGGAGAAGGTGCTGCGCATTGAACCCGGGGCTGTGCTCACTGTCACCACCACCGCTGGGGTGTACCGAGCCCCCCGGCTCATCATTGCGGCCGGAGCCTGGACCGGTGCCCTCGTGGCACCCCTGGGTCTCCACCTGCCACTGCAGGTAAGGGTCGGCGGCACCGCGGGGCGGCCCGGCCGCGGCCAGGGCTAACCCAGTGACCCCAGCCCCTGCGCATCAACGTCTGCTACTGGAGGGAGAAGGAGCCGGGGAGCCCCAGCGCGGGCAGAGCCAGTCCCTGCTTCATGGCCCTGGGGCTGAGCCGAGCCCCCCACGGCGTCTACGGGCTGCCCGCCCTCGAGTACCCGGGGCTGGTCAAGGTGAGCGGGGCATGGTGGCGGTGGCAGGGGGATGCCCTCGGCAGCACCCCCTGACCGGCTGCCCCCCAGGTGTGCTACCACCATGGCAGCCCCACTGATCCTGAGGAGCGGGACCGGCTCCCCCCGGGCACCCCCCACCCCGATGTTGCCCTCCTGAGCAGCTTCATCAGCAGCTACCTGCCCGGGCTGGAGCCCCGGCCAGCCGTGGTGGAGACATGCCTCTACACGGTGAGACCCCCCTCAGGAGCGGGACCCAGGTGTCCGGGGTCCCAACCCCTCCCCCACGCCAAGGTGGACCTTGCCATCCCTTCCACCCCCCAACCTTGGGTCCAGGAGAGGACCCTGGACCCCACAACCCTCACGCCGTGGCTCCCCCAGAACACCCCGGATGAAGACTTCATCCTGGACCGGCACCCCAAGTTCAGCAACATCATCATCGGGGCTGGTTTCTCAGGTAGGCGAGGGCACCCGGCCCCCCCGGGCACCCCAGAGCTGGCCGGGGCCGTGGGGGTGGCTGTGCCCCCCACATCCCCCGCTCCTTCCCACAGGCCATGGGTTCAAGCTGGCGCCAGTGGTGGGGAAGCTGCTGTGTGAGCTGAGCCTGGGCGAGGAGCCATCCCACAGCACGGCCCCCTTCACCATCACCCGCTTCCCTGGCGTGCTCCGGGCTGCACTGTAGGTGCAGGGCCCCGGCCGTGCCTGCACGGCATCACACTGGCCTGCAGCTGTGTCTCTGCATCCCGGTGTCCTCAGACCCCAGTGTGCTGGCATCCCCGCATCCCTGCATCCCCACGTATCTCCATCTCCCTGCATCCTGGTGTCCCAATATGCTGCACCCCAGCACCCCTCCACCCCCACACCCCAGCTACCCTGCATCCCCACGTCCCCATACTCCACCATCTCAGCACTCAGCATCCTGGCACCCCTCCGTCCCGGCAGCCCTCCATCTGTGCACCCCAGCACCCCTGCATCCCCACATCCCAGCACCCTGGCATCTCCATACCCCTGCATCCCTGCTACCTGCATCCCAGCACCCCTCCATCCCTGCATCCCACATCCCAGCTACCCCTGCATCCCAGCATCCCCACATCCCAGCATCCCCATATCCTTGCATCCCGGCATCCCCCATGCCGCGCGGGGCCAAGCCGTCTCTACCGAGCTCCCGCTCCCCGGAAACGAATTAAGGAGCTTTGTCAGCCTCATGAAGATGGAGCTGGAACAGCGTGGAGAGACACACTCGCTTAGGAGTCAAGTTAAATGTTTTAATGTTAAATGTGCCATTTTATTATCATTAGATCGCTCCCACTTAATGAAAGCGCATTAGCGCAGCGTGGCTTTATGGCAGCGAGCGCTGAGCTTGGCCCATTTGTTTCCAAGAGATGGTGGGGAAAGGGCTCAAATGCCCTGGTTTGCCGGGGTCCCAGGGGTGCGGGGGGTCCTGGGGGTGCAGGGGGTCC